CAACTATTACAATACGCTGGAGCACGGGAACGAGGAGACGTGGAGATTTCACAAAATGAGAGTCTTTAATAATCTAACAGGGAGTCACAGAGCACAAGGAAGATGTTCACAACAAGTAGACCCGACGAAGAACTAAGGAACAGACAGGTACTTATAAACACAGGATAATTACAAACACAGGTGAGCGGAATCAATCACTAAACAAGAACAGGAAACATGACCAAAAAAGGAAAACAGGAACTAAGACAGTGGTAAAACAAGGAAACACAAGTCCACAACACTGACATAACTCCTCCCTCCCGGAAGGCGCATCCCGCACCGTACAATATCCAACGGGGAGGGGGGGTGGGTGCTCTGGAGGCCTCTAAGAGCAGGGTTCCAGGACGGAAGGCCTCCAGGGTCTGGCAGTTCGGGGCGCCATGGTGGAGCAGGCAGACCAGGAGGCCATGGCGGAGCAGGGAACTCAGGAGGCCATGGCAGAGCAGCCTCCAAGGCCGCGGCCCCAGCCCCGGCCTCTACGGCTGGAGCCCTACTACCCCCCAAAAAAAATACTTGGGGACGATTACGGGCTCCGAGACCCTCCATGGGCCAGAAATAGGAACAGGAGCCCTCCGTGGGTCAAACTCGGGAACAGAAGCCCTCCATGGGCTAAACTCGGGGACAGGAGCCCTCACCGGGCTAGATTCGGGGGTTGGAGCCGACACTGGAGCGAGCTCTGGGGCTAGGATGAGGGCGGAAAACAGTCTTTTTCTCCTCATCCTCCTTTGATTAGAATACATCGGCACGGCTGGCAGATTTGACATCGGAACGGCCGGCGGGCTGGAGAGAGCCACAGTCGGCGAGCTTGACTGAGGAATGGCTGATGGGCTTGACATCGGCACGGCCGGCGGGCTAGAGAGTGCCGCGGCCGGCGGGCTTGACTTCAGAATGGCCGGCGGGCTGGAGAGAGCCGTGGCCGGTGGGCTTGACTGAGGAACGGCCAGCGTTTCTAGGCTGAGGACAGAGACGGTGCTGGGAAGAGATGGGTGGTCAGAACATTTGGCCAGGTATGCGGAGGGTCCTGGCGAGGGGTGAGCTGCCGAGGCCCGGTGGTCTTTGGGAGGGACTGGATGATGATTGCTCTGAATTTTTTCCACTTCGAGACTTACTCCATTTAAGTCTAGGACATGATTAACCAACTCGATCAGGGGGAAACTGTACGTGGGAAGATCGCAGCCGATTATGTCATCATCCAGCCCCAGCCGAAAACATACACTCAGAGCGGCGTCGAACCAGCTCACCTGGTTAGAGAGCTCTAGGAACTCCTCTACATACCTCTCCAACTCCCGACCACCCTGCCGCAGACACCAAAGCCTGTCTTCAGCCGTAGTCATTCTGTTTTTGGTCCGCTGTTCTGTCATGATTCACTGGGAGGAACGAGGAGACGCAGGAGAATACTTCAACTAGAATTTAATCCAACAAGCCAAGGGATACGCACACTGGAACTTAGGGATGACATATAACAGCGGACAAAGACTCAGGGAAACACAGGGTTTAAATGCAAGGGGCAAACGAGATAATTAATCAAACACAGCTGGATACAAATTAACACAATGAGGACAGGGACAGGAAACAGGACCAAAAAAGGAAAACAGGAACTAAGACAGAGGTAAAACAAGGAAACACGAGTCCACAACACTGACATCCATTTGTTAAATATTAAATAAATAGACAAACTAGACAGTTAGTAATGCTATGGTAGAACTAGCATAGATGATGCACGTTTTACAGATTGAACTAAAAGTGAAATGTGAAAAGGAACAGATAGTTTGAAGCTTTTAAAAAGCAACTTTGATGCTGGCAGCTATGAGCAGCCAATGTATATAAAAAAAAAACAGGAGGGGTCTAACGTGGGTTTTCTTGGTCTGGTTGAGGATCAGACATGCTGCTGTGTTCTAAATCGTCTGAAAAGGGCTTGATAGTTCTAGGTGGGAGGCCAGGTGGTAAAGCATTGCAGCACATTTACTTAGTTTATGTAAGGTCACAGAAACTTTTTATTAAGTTTCTGTACATCGTTCTCACTAAATGCCTTTTCAGATAATAACTGTTTTAGATGGGGACGTGATGCAATTTCAGCATTTACAGGTGCTAGTCTGAGATTTTATTGTCTCTTGAATCAGTAATGTCTGTCTTTCTTCTACCATTCAGGAGAAAATGACTTCCAAATTACCTAGTATTTTTGACAAGCAGCAGAATCATGTGTAATTTAATTTCCACCTGAGTCGTTGGATTGGTCAAAAAAGTCATTTTGGAAAATCTTCTTTGACCCATTTCTAAGTGCTTTAGGGCTGCTGTTCGACACTTTTGCAGGTAGTGATAGTTTGGATGTTTGGCACAATGGATGCTCGTATCAAAGAACTGAGAACTATAATTAACTATGGCCACTTACTGCAAAGTTTTGCCCGAGTAAATACCTTGTTCCATGCATATGGAGTCTTGAATTTTTGATGATTGACAGCAGCAATTTGGCAGCTTGTGACTGACCAAACATGGAGTTTGAAATGTGTTGGATACTGTATCATCATTTTGGATATCAGTTCATTATTGATTCTGCTGTTTGAACTGCTGCTTTTATACAGAATGCTTTCTCTTGACAATCATGTGTTGGTGCTGTGTTTGTGTTACTTTGAAATTACTTTCTCTTGCCCCTTTATCTATTAATTGCTATTCGAATACATGAGTTTTATCACAGAAGATCCATCTGGCTGGTTAATTCTGTTTATAGATGCTATAAAAGCTGCACTAGGATATGCTTTCTCTGATCTGCATTACCCAGTGCCCCACATAGACTGAAACTTTGGAGAACCTCTAGGCACCCTTTGATGGTATCTCAACTGTCCTACTGAGTACACAAGGAATATCAATATACATTTCAAATGCCTCAAAACGTTTACTTTATGCCTTTTCCTTTAGTTTCTAGGGGAACTTCTTGTTTCTAGGGGTTCTTTCTTGCACAAACTTGTGGGTTTCTCAGAGTTCCTCAGAAAAATGCTATCCTTGAAAGGTTATTTAGAGGTTCTCCAAAATGCCATAGAAGAACCTTTAAATTAACAGTTCTTAAAACAACCATTTTTTCCACAGTGTAAAGAACATTTTAATAATCTGAAGAGCCTTTTACTACTATAAAGAACATGTTGTGCAATTGAAAGTTTCCATGAATGTTAAAGGTTGTTTATAGAACCATCAATGCCAGTAAAGAACCTTCATTTTCATGAGTTTGTGCAGTCATCATTCATTTCATGCCCTAATCTGATAAGGTCAATGAGCATTAGCAATATTATGTGTGTTTATTAAGCATTCAGTGTATAAGCAAAATGTTCCTCAGAGAGATTTGAGTTAGCATCCATGTACGTCGTTCGTGAAACTACAGATAGAATTCTGAATCAGCATTCGCCCCCTCACTCACACTTTCCACAGTGCCAGGAGCAACGCCATGGGCTTCCAACTAGGCTTCTGTTAGCAGTGCCTTAGGATCCTGTCATAGCTGACTGGCACAACCTGGAGAGCTCAGCGAGAATAAGCAGAACTTTACATCTGCCATCATGTGAGGGTCAGTGTCAAACCTTCCCCTTGAGCAAAGTTCTATGAGATCAATAGAAAAAAATATCATGAAATCAGAAAATCAGAAAATCTAAAATACTAATGCACCTCTGCAAACTGGCCCTGAGATTAATCTGATTACAGC